TATAATTTGTGTACATTTGATGCTGAGATTAAGTGTGATGTATACACCTGCAGACAACATGAAGGATTAATACTGCTGCCGCATGTAATGAAATCCACAGAGAGCTGACTTACATGTTCTTTGGTACAGAAAATCCATTACCAATTGTAGCGGGTCCCAATGTCCTGTCGATAAGGCTGTGAATAGATGGAATTGTGTTCTTAAAGGGATGGGGAACATACTCTCTCAATACAACATGTTGTTAAAGTTTAGCCAGTACAAAGCTGAGAGCAGGGGTTATTTCCCAGTGGAGCACTGACATCATACAACTTGATGTAGGAGACACACTGGATCATAAAAGGCTCATATGGAGAGCTGGTTGTACCGCAGTCTGGAAAGTCACCATGCATCCATGAACTGCAGTAGTTCCATTAAAAAATAGAGACACATTTGCATAATTCTAGAAAAATGGCATTAACTCTAAATACTCGTCTTCATCTTTGTCTTGCAACACATCATTACACAGAAGCAGGATGCAGAATAACAAAATGTATTTGTGGACGGACATATTGGTGTTTGTCTAAATGTGATGCTGATTAAGACCCATTTTCCTTAGCATGTTGCTATTTGTAACCTCTTTTACTTCAAGAAAAAAGAATGTAAAGAAAGTGACACATTAATGGGACAAACCATCCATGCATGGTACAGTAACTGTACTGTATATTGTCTGGTAGAATGTTAGACATTTAACCGTTCTAGTTTTATGTAATAATGCGGTAGAGTATGACTTTGTCTTATCACTTTAATTAATAAAATACTAATAACAAAATAAAAGATATTACACACTGCAGCTGAGTTTACCAGGAAACCTTTCAAAACTAAATCTCTCGATGATATATTTGATAAAGGACTAGATTAAAAGTCTCATCTCAGTAACATTAGCGTTAAGTATTGAGTATTCCTAATGTGTAAAACATAGCTGTTAGACTCCCGCAAGGTAGGCATCAAACTGCCTTGCTTTTGTGAGTGATTTTTAATTAAATTGAATGAATTCATTAATTAAGGGTGTTTTGGGAGCTCATTAGTGTGAAACTAAGTTCCTGATATCTCTGAATCCCAACAGCCGGCATGCATATTAGAAGCATTTTCAAATATGTGCAACGTGATTTATAAATGCAGAGTTGTATACTGTACATCTTGTTCAAACCAGGTGGATTTAAAGTATCGGGTTAAACTCATCAAGTGCATTGATTGTGAAATCAAAAAAATATAGGACTTTTCATGCACTATTGGTTCTACCCTTCGTTTTGTGCTCTCTAATTAAAGCCAAATTTGGCATGGGAATGTGTAACGTAATCGTTCGCCTCGGTAGAACAAGCTCTGCTCGCCCAGCGAGTCAGCTGATGAGTAACTTGGACAAACCCTTTACTTTGGTTTGCACTTTTTCATTTAGACGAACAACAGCGTTCCCAGGCCAGTGTAGCGATATAGTCTCTCCCCCTAGTCCTGGGTCCTCCCCGCGGCCTCTTCCCAGCTGGCTGTGCCTGAAATACCTCTCTAGTGAGGCGCCATGGGGGCATCCTCACCAGATGCCCAAACCATCTCAACTGGCTCTTGTTCCAACAGAAAATATCTCTCGGGGGACCGGGTCATACGCCTCCTCCAGGTCCACAAAACACATGTAGACTGGATGAGCATACTCCCAGGCCCCCCTCATGGTCCTTGCAAGAGTAAAGAGCTGGTCCGTCGTTCCAAAAAAACCCCACATTGTTCCTCTTCAATCCTTGGTTCGACCATCGGCCGAAGCCTCCTTTCCAGCACCTTGGAGTAGACTTTACCACTGGGGCTGAGTAGGGCGATACCTCTATAATTGGCACACACTCTGTGGTCCCCCTTTTTGAAGAAAAGTACCACCATCCCGGTCTGTGCCTCTTGTGGCACTGTTCCAGACTTCCATGCAATGTTGAGCCTCCAGCTCCACCTCTACCAAAGAGTAGTTGGATTCAGGAGTTCCTCAAAGTGTTCCTTCCACCGCCCGACAACCTCCTCAGTTGCAGTCAAGTTTTGAACATACACCACTCTGGTTCGATGTCGCCTACCTCCACAGGAATGTGCGAGAAGCTCCGCCGGAGGTGTGAGTTGAAAATCTTTTGGACTAGGGCCTCCTCCAGATGTTCCCACTTCACCCCCAATTCTCTGACCCAGCTCACCACCAGATGGTGATCAGTTCACACCTCTGCCCCTCTCTTTACCCGAGTGTCCAAAACATGCGGCCTGACAATACGATTACAAAATTGATCATCGATCTTTGGCCTAGGGTGCTCTGGTACCAGGTACACCTATGAACGTCCTTAAGTTTGAACATGGTGTTTGTTATGGACAATCCGTGACTGGCACAGAAGTCCAATATCAAACGACTGCTCAGGTTCAGATCAGGGAGGCCGTTCCTCCCAATCACGCCTCTCTTATCTCCATCGTTGCCCACATGCGCATTAAAGTCTCCCAGTAGGACTGTGGAGTCCCCTACTACAAACATCAATCTCTTAACTCAGAATTAAACTTCTGTTTGAAGGTTGAAGGTAAGACATTTCACGGTTGAAGACTGAATTGTTAAAGCTCTTTGGTGAACAACTTTGGCAAAAAATGTACATTATCTCAAGTATCTTAAATCATTTACAATTATCTTTACTGTCAATACATATCGATACCAATATATCTCATATAAACTAATATACGAGTGAATACAATATTGTACAATGCCGGTCATGGTGACCTTTACATGTGGAGTTTTTATGTAATAATTTAGGAAATGCAAGTTACTAAAAGAAAAGGCACTTTCATGCGGTTTCACCTTTAAATCTCCGTTCATAAAAAGTAAAATGTGGTCTGCAAGTGAGACAAAATATCAAGGCTGTTACTTCAAAGTCGTAGTTTTATTAACGTCTATCTTGTCTGAAAATGTAATGTAAAATCTCCAATATTAAATCTTATTTGGACATGATAATGTGTTTATTGTGTAAATGACAAAAAGATTGACACAACCCATGTACTGATCCTGTGTGCAGCACTTTCTCATTTACATAAAGCATTCAGCCTTCACGACTGCTGCCATTCAGGCCCATCCTGAAATGGATTGTGCACCGAGTGTGTCTGGATGAGTTGTTTTTCAATCAACCCGGAGGATTAAATGCTATCAGTGACAGGGTAATGCATATTAATGTGACTCAGCTGAGCCTAAACTATTCTTTTTTGCCTTTTTTTGTATTCTCTCCTAGAATCTTGTATTCTAATCTTTAGTGGAAACTCTGTATTATCAACGGAATTCAAGGGTATACTGTGGCCGCCCGTGACTTTAAGACCCACAATGCACACAATATTCGAAATGATGCAGAGCATAGTGTGCAGTGTAATGTCCCAGAGTTAAAAGCAAAGGAGAAAGTGCTTCTCTGCATCACAGATCTGTGTCAGCACCTCAAGCCTTTTCTGCTGAACCCACATGGTCAATAAATTCTCGCTGTTTAAAAGGCGCATGAGTAGAATTCTACACTCAAAGATCTAATGAAATGATGAGGAATTGACCTTCAGTACCCTAGGGATTGATTGATGAACACTCATTCCTCATGGTAATTGACTTTGTTTCGTAGCTTAGAATTATATTATGTATTGAGAATGTATGTCACACAAGAGTGTTGAGTCCTTCAAGGTTTACTGTTGAAAGGCAACGATGGTTCCGCAGGGATTAGCGATGTGCATGGTTCAAAGTTAAAAGGCCAAAACGCAACATCAGCATGCAAAAGTAAAAGAGCGCACGTCTTTGTAAAAGGCCCCCAATCGGCCCGAGACGCTGTGATGGATTAGAATGTGTGAAAAAACACATCAATGTCTGGGTTGGGAATGGAAATGAGTCATCCAAGGGATTGCTTGTTTAGATAATGAGTGTCACAATCCATTTACATATATTTCTGCTGTCAAAAAAGCTGAGGATTTAAAAGCAGGAATATATTTTTTTGCACATTTTTCTCAGGTGATACAGCCATTTCAGCAATTTGATTTAAAGTGGGAGTGGTGTGGAAGGCCACTGTGCAAAATTGAAGCAAATTCGACCGGCAGCATGTTAAACCATGTGTAAAATCCTTGCGCTGAGCTCAGAAAACCATCCCTGGCTGGAGCAGCTGCTCTCCTCCCACCTCTGTCTTTAGGGATGGTCACACTCACGTGCACTGATCATAGGAGCCTTTGAAGGAAGAGGGATGTCCAGGAGCCCGTTAACCTCCCCTATACCCCTGTGCACTGATTCCTGGCACGCGTGCGGATGCCAGGTCACGTCCTCTGAGGGAATTACCGTGCATTCACACAACATTGGCAGGTCTGTCTTTGGCCATTGCGTGCTGTCTTTTTTCTTAAAACTTCGTATTTCCAAGAGATCATTTTGAATTCTAGAATTTACAGAGCGATAACGAGTGTCAAATGTGCAGTGTCTAATGTCGACTGCAGGCTTGTGCGTCTGCTAATAAAGCTGTAATGGTTCTGGGGGCGGCTGTTCAAAACTGTCTAAAAGTGTTAAATTAACTCTGCTAGCTAAGGGCATATTTTAATACATTAAATCACTGGCATGGATTTTCTGCACTCTCACGGTTAAGTCAAACACGGAGGAGAGAGAGCATCATTATTGTTGCCTTTTACATCAGAGAGGACGTGTGGTTGGAACATATATTTTATAGTTGTTTTTTTTTTAGGATTGGCCTAGACTGACACCACACTCCTGCAGAGGCGTGCAGTGACATTTTCCAAATCACCCTCCCGAAACTTAACAGAGGATTACCGATGCCCCCCTCTCGAAATGGCTGTAAAAATAGTAACCCGAGTGTGCCACGGTGTAATTGTTTCGACAGTTTTACCACGGATCGCAACTATTTGGAGGTGTTCTCCTCCATTGGTGAGGCGCCTTCATTAGTCAAAAAGCGTGGGCGGGACTCTTGCTCTCTGCAGCGAGTCAAAGAGAAAGGCAATAAAGGGAGGCAGGAGCTGCACTTTGCCGACGAGCATCTCTGCCGCTACAGTCATCACATCCCTCCCCCCCTCCCTCCCTCCCAGGATCTGCAAGAAAAAAAGAGAAATACACCGCGACTTCTCTGGAAAGAAAAAAAGGCAAGAGTTCATCCATGTGACTCCGGTCTGTCCGAAACTGCGCCATTTACCTGGATAAGTCCATCCCGAGGAGAAGAGACTGCCCAAGAGAGACCGAGACCAGCGCGACGGGACTGTCGACGTAACAGAATCGCGAAGGACAAGAGAAGATGATTGTCAAGCTGCACCTGATCTTCACCCTGTACAGCCTCTGTGCCAGCGTCTTTAAAGGTGAGCGCCGCGCGTTGCCGTGGAGACGGGGCGTGGTGTGCGGGGAGGCGGCGGCGGCGGCTGCGTTGTGGTGTTGCCCTAAAGCCGCATGTGCTCATGTGTCACGCGCGCGTGAGTTCAACTATAACAGTAGAGAAAGAGAGTTGCTTTGCTTTATTTTTTACAAAAACGACTTGCGCCTCGGTGGAGCGGTCTTGGCCAGCGAGGGAAAAGGCGCCGCCGTTGTCCGGCGTCAGAGTCGGCAGTGCTGGAATGCCTGGAAGTTGACATGTGCGGCTCAACCAAAAGCACAATGCGGCTGCACAAGTTGCGCTATTGTTGTTGTTTTTCTTCTTGTTGTTTTTCTTCTATCGGAGATAACACTTGCACTTCCTTCGGCAGTGTGGCATACAACGCATTGGTTGGCACTCGCATCCTCTTATGGAGCTGACATGGATGCACGCAAGGTTACAGCGGCTGGTCGCGCGTGCGTCTTGTTTAGTTTGTGAGACCGTTGTCATTGACTGTGTGGTTTTGAAGTCATACACTCTCCGGAATCTGTGGACCCCCCCCCCCCCCCTCTCTCTTTTTTTTAACGTTCAGTCACTTACTTCACTCATGACATTACTGACTTCGCAGAGGGGACAAGAAGTCCCCTGTATAGCTGTTGGCTGCATTTGAGTTAAGCTTTTGTCTCCGGCGAGGCCATTGCGCACCGTGTTTTAGAGCGCGGACGCAATTCTCCAACACCGTCGGTTTCTATACGCATTGGCATTGACCGCATAAAGCCGCGTAGTAGCTCATCCAAAGTGGGGTTACTGGGATCAGATGCAGGTATAACGGTTGCGTGATGCCTCTCTGCAGCCAGGCGTCAGTGTTGACAACTCCCTCAACTCCGCACACACCGTCCCGCTCTTGGACATGCTTGCGCAGCCACCGCCCTGAAGGCGACCAGTGCGCAGATTCATAGAGCCAGCGGAGAGGGATACATGGCAGGGACTCCCAGATCAAATCAATGCAAACAAAAGGAAATACTGACTCCAATTCCATGACATGTACAGAGCAGGATATTTTACAGAAATAACACCTCTTTTTTTTTTTTTTTACAATCAAACACTTGAAATGATGGAGCCACTTGCAAATGGTCAGTGCTTATTCAGAAGACTCTAGGGAGGAGATATGAGATCATACTGACAGAGACCTGTCATCCAAGGGTTATTGCTAAAAAGCTGTCCATGTCAGTATAATGAAAGTGCAGATACCCGGAACCTGCTTTGAAACCCTTTGGGTGGTGCATTCAATGACACTGTGTTATCTGTACAGGGTATGAGAATTGGCCTCAAATAATAGTTGCATTAATGGTTTGTTTTTTATGTAAATGCAAATAAAACATGTATGATGTGGAAGGATAGTAATTAGAATGTGGTCTTGCATTATAAGGTTGTTATTTGGCAGCAGACAGAGAGAACATGCACTACCCCTCCTAACAGTATTACACCAGAAGAACAAAAAATGATGGACTTAATGGTCAATTTCCCCGCTGACCTATTTTAAGAACATTTTCAGGTTCTGTAGGATGATTAAAAGTGTGCTGAAATGAAGCTGAACAGTTATGGCTACATGACTGCTTTGAAAAAACGGTTGGAAGTAATATTCTGCAAGAGTTAGAGGGCGATAAGTAACTTCACTCTTTGAGATTTGTGAGGGCTGACCTGGATGTTCTACCTTAGTTTTACCTAGAATGAAGTTGAGTCTCGAATAATAAATCAAACATTGAAACATTTCTGGGCTTTAAAACTAACATAGGAAGAGCAAACTGGGATTATTGCAGCCTTGAGGTGGTCTGCTCTTAGTTTATGGCCAAACTAATCAGCTAATCACTTCACCATCTTAATGGCTTTTAGTGGACATTAAAAATAGCCCCATTATATTGCTGTTCCAACATTTGGTCTTTGCAAAAACTATTCTTCTCATGATTTTGAGTCCATCTATAAATTGTAAATTCTGCAAGTAAGAGCATTTGTTGCAATAACACTATTAGCATCATGAGCTAACAACAGTCTTCAGTAGAACTGGATAACAGAATGCCAGCCCACTTTGCAACAGATTTGGGTTCATGACATATACTGCCAGAGGGAACGGGGCACAGAGAGTTTCATCATCTTGTCCAAAAGCGCTACGAAGACCCACTTCGAGGGTTGCTTCAATTATTTATGCCATGTGGCTAAAGTTTAGACACATGAACTAGGAGTGCCCAGAGCAGTGTGCCAAATGTCTGTGGAGAAAGCTCCTGGTGAGCACATCCACCTCCAACCAGACTGCACTACACATGTGTTATTAAAATGGTTAAAAAAAGACGATAAATCTTTTTTGGGATGAGGATCTGCTGTACAAAATACTCAAAGAGCAGTTTGGGTGTAGAAATCTGTGGCGAATATTCTAAGAATCCCAGCCCATTTAACAAATTGCTGATGCGCATCCAGATCTAGTTCAAAACGCGGCTTAACCTTTCAGCAAATTCCATCACAGTCCAGTGAATGAATTTCTAACACACAAACAACAAACAAATGGGACTGAAAACACAACCTCCTCGGCGCAGGTAACACGGTTCATGTGTCCTCTACGCGATCACAGGCTAATCGACAGTTAAATTGCTGTGTGCCGCATCAGACACTGCAGTGATACTGTGGACAAGACCTCAGCCTCAGCAGCTCTGTTCATGCTCCGTAATGCTGAGAGTCTTTTCATGCAGGCTCATCCCTCTTAGTACAACTACACCATTGGTATTTCGCTTAAATGCATTGCTGGACTCTTATCTGTATAGCTGCAGCAGCCTATGGAGTACTGCTGCATAAATGTTTAATATGCCGTACTGGCAGAATATATCTATTCTTATGTAGAGTTACTGTTAATCTATTGTGTGGGGGAGAGGTGAAGGATATTGTGTGTCCTGCCCTCCGCTCAAGCTTTTGTGAGGTGTGAGGCCCAGTTATTTCCGCATGTGCACCAGTACGAACTTTAGCTACTCTGTGAGGTGTCGGTGAATCACAGTACCGTAGTCATGGAATAAAGATGTTTCATCAAAAGCCAGTTAACCATATACAGACTTTTCAGAGCCAAGTTACAGGGTAGGTGGCAGGTGAGCTATTAATGCCAATTAGCCCTGCGGTTATGCTCGGTGTCTATTGCCAGACTGTGGGCCTGTTGCGTCAGACATGTAGGTTTTATCATTGTCGCTTTTCTTTGTTGGTCTCCTGGCTTCTCTGGTCTGGTCTGACATTCCTTCCACTCAAGTGTTTCGTCACTTTCCTTCTCGCCGAGCCCAAGCAGCTCTCACAATGCCATGGGAGTTTTTCTTTTGTGTGGGCACGGAGCCTTTCATCATTTCTTATCTCGTCAGATATTTTGGCATGTACAACATGCAGGTGACGTTAGAACGCTTCTGTGTGTTTTACTATAATGTGGGGGGGCAGTAATCAACCAAAGCGTAAAATAAATGAAAGTGGCTGGCCCCCTTTTTTTTTTCTTCCAGCATTTAATCGAGTATCAAAACTAGAGACAAAGAGAGACAAGGAGGTTGGCTTGTGGATGAATAATTCTCTCATAATGTAAATGAAAAATCTCTTCCCTGATTAAGGAGGGAATTGAGGCAAGTCATTTAAAATGCAAAAGGGCCTTGTAAAACTCTTGACATTTCGTTCAAATATTGGCCCAAAAGCCGACCCATCCATTTCTGAGGGTGAAGACCACAACTGTAGCTATTAGATTGGACTTGTGAAATGAATGAGAATAGTAGAACAGGATATCATGTTATCCATCCAAGCGTCTGTGATTATCTGCGATCAATTGTGTAAAGTTATGGAATTGTTATTGGAAAGTTATAAAGTGTCTTAATCATCAAAATATCATATAATTTTTTAGTGGGAAAGTCAACTGAACAAATTGATGATCTCCAAAACCATATACATTTACCCAAAATGCACTTGTGCTGTGTATAATTGTATTTGCCATCGAATCATAATCAAGCAACTGAAAATTACCAAAATGCTATTTAAGACACTTAATCCATGTTCCACCTAATCTTAGTCCACAAACACCCTTGTACTAGAATTTGAATCCAAAGCTCTTTCATAAACAAGTATACATAATACATACATGCATGCATATTATTGTAGACATATCACATCATATAATGCTTGCCGTTATTTTAATGTTGTCATTTGGACATGCCAACTGAAAAGAAGAAAATTAATTGAATGAATACTCAAAACAAATCTTGTTTACTGTTTGGGATTTTAACTAATACGTTCCAAAATCTCAACTATTATTGAGTTTGTAGACTTTCAGATGGACCCAAGCAAACCACAACATGTCATATATTTTGAGAAGGATTATTTCAATCCGCGGATTGGAATAATCAGGCAGCAGGAACAACTCGGCAGAGCTGAAGGCAAAGTACGGCAGAGGAAGGTGCTCCACAGTCGAGGCTACCCATCGCTCCGTGCTCTGGGTTAACCCTGCAGAGCGTCTTTCAGCTGCCAAGGGCTGGCTGTGGTACTCTGCCGTGTACCACTGCAGCTGAATAATCCAGTAAAGGGACAAATGTGCTTGGAAAGAGCCGCCGCTGCCCTGCTTGCCTTCTGTTGACAGATACGCATCTGTAGGGATAAACCTCAAGCCAGAGGCAAATGTGCTCAGACGAGTGAGGAACGAGCTTAAAGATTAGCTGCTCGCGTCCCCAACCAGGCTGCGTGCTGTCAGTCTTCCTGCGTTATGCTCTTTGTCATTGCGCTTTCCCACGCCATGCCCCCTCCAAGCGGGTATTCGCTTAGCAATGAAGCCAATGGACTGTGAGGGCAATTACACTATTAAAGATTATTTTTACCTGAATTTCAGCAAAAGAGGTGAAGGGTTTTTTTCTACTTGCAAAGAAACCCTAATTAGCCCCCCCAAAAAAATATAAGAAAAATATAAACCCTAACTCTAACCCAAGAAACTCCTGATAAGTTTATAGCCATCAC